TGAGGGTGGAGCATAGGAAGTGTTGGTTGGGGGAAGTCTCTGGTACCTATTGAGCAGGGATATAAAGATACAATACAGGTTATGGAACAACAAATCTCTTCATGGTTACACTGAGAATATCAGAAAAATAAAAAATATGAAAAATTCCTACCACTTCTTCCTCCAATATCAACAGAGATAGGGTCCTGAAAGGATATGAATTACAACTACCATATCAATTGTTGTATAAAATGGGTTATTTTGACCAAGAAAAACCTCTGATACTGTAATGGAAAATCTGAAGAGAATAGTTTCACCAAGTTGTGAGATCATGCAAGTATGGTCTGAGGAGATTTTCAATATTTTAACTGAGGATATTCTTACTGATTCCGTTTTGCAAGATTCTGCCTTTGGGCCTTTTCAGATCCCAGAGTGCAGAACCTCTCAGGAGCAGTATCAGTGGGTGCAGAGAAAGGGGGACAATGTTTCTGCCTCTAAGAAAAGTGTGTTGCTGTTATGTAATGTGCTGGAGAGGAATCAGCTCTGGGCACAGACTGTGCTTAGGCAGGACCTAGGTCAAGGTCACCTATCTTGGATCCCCTACCAGGAGTCAATTATAACACCCTGGTCCTGCTGAAAATCCACACTTAATCATCTTTTATCATCTACACTCCACTCACTGAGGTAATTTTTCTGATTATGGGTATCTGTCTCTCTGTGACTGAACTCCTTGAGCTCACTACCCTAGTGTCCCTACCTCTGCTGGCACAGAAACAGCTGCCTCATGGCATATGATAGGAGCTTGGACTAGTCATTTGTTCAACAGATATTATTGACAGTGTGTGAATGTGCTGGTCACACTTCTTCCAGCATGTGTAGTAGGAGAATAAAGCAATACAGATTAAAATTTTACATTTTTTTCTCTACTCAGAATTTTGGGGAGCTACAACATGGATGTGATTATTAGCACATCCTTTGGAGTTAATTTCAATTCCCTCAACAATCCACAAGATCCATTTGTAAAAAAAAGCCAAGAATATCCTTGGTTCAGATGTCCTCCAAACATTTTTTTCTTATAATTAGTATGTGAATTACCATTTTTTTAAATAAAAACTTCATTAAGATATTATTTACAAACTTTTGATTTCTTAAAATGTAAAATTCCATAATTTTTAGCATGTTAAATGATGCATGCAGCCATAACCATTGTCAAAACTCAGAAAACTCATTAT